ACATTTAATTGGAGTTGGCTTATAGGTTCAGAGGTGTAGCCCATTATCATCAAGTCAGGAAGCATGGCAGTGTCTAGGCAGTCACGGTTCAGGGAGGAGCCGAGAGTTCTATGTCTTGACTGGAAGGCAGCCAGAAGACTGGCTCCCATGTGGCTAGGAGGAGGGTTTCTAAGCCCACCTCCTCCACAGTGACATACTTCCTCCAAGGTCACACCTACTCCAACAAGGCCACACCTCCTAATAGTGCCACTCCCTGGGCCAAGCATATTCAAACCACCACAGGGAGACAGATGGGACAATCAGCTGGAAGCCTGTATGTAAACTAGTCTGCTGGGGAGTAGCAGAGACAACAGATCCTGTCTTAGTAGGTAGGAGGTGAAGACCAGCTCCTGAACTTTGACTTTCATGTGAGCATCATCAGATTTGCATAATTGCATTTTCTCTCTCCTTTCCCCTCTCATTTCTGCCCCTCATGCACAGAAATAATAAAAATTTAAAAAATCTACTGGGGAAAAAAGAATTCCTTAGTAACAGAAGTATACAGAAGTGAGTAGTCAGAGAAATACATGCAACTTCCTCCCTCCCTCCCTTCCTCCTTCCTTCCCTCCCTCCCTCCCTTCCTCATTTTTCTTCCCTCCTTTTCCTTCCTCACTTTTCTTCCCTCCTTTTCCTTCCTCTCCCCCTCTTCCCCTCTCTCTTTCTATTGATTCTTTGTGAATTTCACATCATGCACAGAAAACCCATTCATCTCCTGTTCCTTCATATCTGCCCTCTGCCCCCAAATAACAACAAAACCAATAAAACCCATCTCGTCATGGAAGCTGCAGTGTGCCACACAGTACAGCATTTGCCCAGACAGCTTTCTTGGTAAATGTTCGTTGCAATGAGTCTCTGGGTTCTGCCCCATTATCAACACTGCGTCCTCACTGAGCTCTTCTGTCTCTGTCCACAAGCCAATTGCTTCATCCCATTTTCCCTGTCATGGAGATCCTGGAGCTTTGGATCTGTAGGACCAGCCCCTTCACCTGCTCCAGTAGTTCACAGTTGGGGTGTGACAACTCAGAGCCCTGGATCTGGGCCTGGGGAAGCTGAGTTGGTCTGCCTGCCAAGTCTCTCACTTTGCCCAGGCAAGGGATGAGGCCAGCTCTCCTGAGTGTGGTGGCCATTAATGGGCGGGGCTTCCTCAGCACAATGCTCAGGCAGCAGACTAAGGACGTCCCCATAGCCTCTGGTGGTAACATGGGCCTTGGACATCACCACAGACCCTGGCTATGATAGGACCATGGATCTAGAACATGGGTCTCAGTGGCAGCCCAGGTCAGGATGTCACCATGGCTTCAGGTGGCAGTAAAGGTCACCCAGATAAGCCTGTGTTGTCCCGTGACCCCACCCCACCCCTGTAGAGTTGGCATGCCCTCTAGACTGCAACATGGTTTCTGGCAGGAGCTCAGTCCATTGACATCCAGATGGCTTTTGGTGGCAACCTGGGCCACAGATGTCAGCACAGACCCCAGCTACAGTATGGCCATGGACCCAGACATGACCCTTGGTGGCAGCCCAGCCTGCACATCACCACAGCCTCAGGTGGTTGCATTCCATTAGCCAAGTCACCATGAGACGACTAATAGGAAAATCAAAATGTCAGAACTGTCTATGCTGTTTTTAAATACCTACCTTTTGGCTCTCATCTCCCCCCTCCCTCCCTCATCTCAGGACTTCAACCATTCACACAGCTAAGCTGACCACAGACACCTATGGAGTCATCCTTCATTTCTTCTCTCTACCCCACACTTTATGACCAGTTTATTAGAAAAGAAGAATTCAAAAAATATTCATTACTGCCTGCTTATTACCACTGCTGTTCTTAACTAGAGCCCAGCCCTGAACTCACTGATTCTTGAAAGAGCTTTTACTGAGCCCTGCGTAAGCTCAGACTTCTTTCTCTCTTCTGTAAGATATGGAGGACTCTGAAAGGCCCCAGCTTGCTCCATGTGTCTGGTCCTTTGATGTCACCTCCTCTATTCTCTCACCACCACTAAGCTGGCTATCTTATTTCACTCAGATCTCTGTTCAATCTGTCTATCTAGTCCTGTGGACTAAAAACAGAGTGTTCCACGTCCTTTGACCCAAACCTACAGCTTTTAACTAGGTCTCAAAGGCATTAGTCTACTCTGTTGGCTTATAGACAACTGTTAACTACCTTTTGTAAAATATAGATTTAAATACAATGGGAATACTACTGTACATTCTACTGAAAATTAAAATTCACATAAGCTTCAGGGAATCAGAAAGTTGTAGGATTTGGATCCACCTGTCACAGATCAAATGAGACAGGGTTTCTCTGTGTAGCTCTGGCTGGCCTTGAACTCAGAAATCCACCTGCCTCTGCCTCCCAAGTGCTAGGATTAAAGGTGTGTCCCACCACAGCCCGGCTTGCCTGTTCTTAAAAATGGGATTTTTCCCCTTGGTCTTGGGATTCTTTACCTTCCTCGATTACTATACAATTTTACCTTTTGTCCCTAGTCTATATTTGACTTAGCAGATTTTCACCTGGCTGACAGACTCCATCTAGGGATCACCTTTGGAACTGCTGAAATGTTCCATTGCCCAACTGTTGACCAGCATTTCAGCCTTCTTGGGTCCCTATGACAATATCCTAATGTCGTCCATTGTCCAGCCTAACAGGCTGAAATGCTAAGTCAGAAAGGAAACCTAGACCCATGCTGAAAAGGACTCCATTTAGTGATCCTGACCACCCCAATGACTATGAAAGCAGGTGGGATCTAATCCTGGATTCAGCACTCTCATCTGAAGTTCACCCCCTGGAAACATCAGGACCTGGACCATCAATGGTGTTGTCATACAACTCCTGCAGAACCTGTTAAAAAACCAGACTGGTAAAAGATTCTGGAGACTACTTTTCTATTTTGTGTTGCCTTGAGCTGCTGAGGCACATGCTCCAGTACAACACATATGAACTTTGATTAGAACTACAGATGGAAGCCTAATTATTAATATTACTGCCTATGGTTCCCCCCACCCTCACCTTTGGCTTACGTAAATTGTATGGGCCAAAATGGAATAGGTGCCCAAAGACTGCAAACATATATGTTCCCTCATTCTCTAGGTCTTTTGGATGTGGGATCCAGAGTATAGAAAATAGTTTGGCCACCCTTCAGGTATATGCCTGTCCCTCAGATGAAGACTCTGACTGTGGGGGACAAGATGTGTACTTTCGTGCTTCACAGGACTGTAAAACATTAGCTCCCTGGGTCACCGATAAGGATAATTATATTCAGTTACAGAGAATGGAGAGCCAGTCTTAAAAAAAAAACCAACCTAAAAAAATCCAACCTCATTCAAATTAAGATAAAAACTGGTGTAACTAATGTATGGGATGCAGGAAAGACTTGGGGACTTGGTCTTTATGCATCTGGAGGTGACCCTGGGATGATGGTCACCATCCAGAGATTCCAGGACACCAGGGACAGGACCTTAGACATCACTGGTTCCAACAAAGTATGAAACTGTCTTTCTGACCTAAGAAAGACAGCCCCTAAGCACGAGCAAACCACCCAGCAATCTTTCTGCTATCACATGGCCAACAGGCCTCTCCCCAGCCTTGGTCATCTTTCCCTCTGCCTCAAGAGTTCTTCTTTTCCCCTTAGGAATAGAAGACACTGAGGTACCTGCACTCTTTAGGTCACTATTGTACTTGTGCATACATTGCCTCAGGAATATTGTTCTGGACAGGGAGGCTGGGAACACCTAGGACTTCTCCCCAGATGGCCGGGCAGCTCCAGTACTAGTTTGTCTCCTAGCACGCATGGACACTGCAGGGTCTTCCAATATGGGAGCAGCAGCACTTATTAAAAAAGATCAACATTTTAAGTACTTAAGTTTACAAATTGATCAAGACTCCTGGATCCTGACAGACAAGGTCTTACTATATAGCTTGGCTTGCCTACAACGTCCTATGTAGACCAGGCTGGCCTCAAATTCACAGACACACCTGCCTCTGCCTCCAAAGCGCTGGATTAAAGCATGCATCATCACACCTGGCCCTGTCATACCTAATTTTATAAACTCTTCTGAAAGATCATGTATTTTTGGCTTTGCTTCAATAATCTATCTATCTATCTATCTATCTATCTATCTATCTATCTATCTATCTATCAAGCATCTATCAGGTTTTTTTTTTTTTTTTTGTTTTGTTTTTTAAGAAAGGGTTTCTCTGTGTAGCTTTGGCTGTCCTGGAACTTGCTTTATAGACCAGGCTAGTCTTGAGCTCAGAAATCTGTCTACCTCTGCCTCTCCAGTGCTGGGATTAAGGGTGTGTGGCACCATGCCCAGGTGCTTCATTAGTTTACGAAACAAATCTCTAATATAAGTCTGGTTGTACAGGTAGATATTTCTAACAGAAAAAAAACGTATTGAGTAGAGAAAAATTATCCAGCACACTTTAGTTTAGACCATCTGACCCCTTTGTATTTAAAAAGATATATCATTTATGTGTATGTGCTTCTGTATTTGCTTGTGTGTGTGAATGCACCTGTGGAAGCTAGAAGACCATTATCAGAGCCCTTGGATCTTGAGTTGGTTACTGAGTGTTGTGACTCACCAAAAGTGGGTGCTGGAAACTGAACCCCCATCCTCTGAAAGAACAGCAAGCACTCTTAAATGCCAAACGACATCTCTCTAGACCCTACTTTGAATTTTTATGTTAGTTTTTTGGAAGACTTAATAATCCTTGAATAAAATGATATTAACATGCAAGCTAGTAACTTACCAACCTCCTGGTAACATAAAAAGCAGAAATCCTGCAAAGTATTAAACAAATAGCTTTATTATTTATGAGGATGTTATCACTAATAAGCTTCTTGTATACTTGTACAAAACTTTATTAGAACTTCGGAGAACAAAGATTCACTATCATACCTAATACATAATTTGAATAATAAAATAGTCTCTGTTTTATTTTTAAATAGAGAAAATTTATATCCAGTAGCATGCTTATTGAAAACAATGAAATATTTCATTCATTAAAAATATATCAAGAAAATACATAATAAAGTATAATTTGTAGCATAAATATAAGCTAGTAAATTCATTTCCATTAAGTACATTATGATTTACTTTTATAAACATAAAAGTCTAGTATTTTAAATCATTAATAAATGCAGAAATACAGAACTTATTTACAGGAATTCTCAAAAATAATGATTCCACTAAGTAGTGACTATCACAGCTCATCAGTATTTTCTTTGCACTGTGGATCCAACATCAGGAGACAGACTGGCCCTTGGCTGGCAGCTCTGTAAGAGAGTTCAGAGGGTTTCTTAACTGTCATGTCTGCAGATGTTCACCAGTCATTCTCTTTTCAGATCATGGCTTTTAAGAAGACTAAAACTCAAATCAAAATAGTACATACACCAATCTCAACGATGTTGTACCCCGCTCTTTGTAGGGCATTGTATGGTCAGTAATAATTCACAGTCTTCATATTTTACTATTGGTAATATGTGCTTTGAAGGAATTTCCTTTGAGTGTGTGTGGGGCATGGCTGTGCGTGGGCAGATGTGCTCATTTGCATGTGCACTTGCAGGCTAGAAGTTAGCTTTAGGCATTTTTTCTCTTTCCAACTTATTTTATTATTATTACTTTTTTGAGACAAGGTCTCTTCACTGAACTTGAAGATCACCATTTTTAGATCATCATTTTGGATGACTGACTGGCCATCAGAGCCCTGAGGTCTGACTGTTTCCGTGCTTAAGGGCTGACCTACAGACTGTATATTCTTTTTCAGGTGGGTGTTAGGGATCTGAACCCAGGTCCTCATGCTGTGAAGCAGTACTTCATTACTGAGCCACTGAGGCACCTCTATAGATCCTTAAAAGTAGCTTTCTAAAGCCAGGTGTGGTGTGCACCCCTATAATCTCAGCTCTTGGGAGGTGAGAGGCAGGAGGACCAAGTGTACATGGCTAGCTATATGATGTCCTGTCTCAAAAACCACAATGCAATGCAGAGGAACTTTTTGGGATCTGTTGTGTAAATGGCCAAGTGTTTCCTTGTTTCCTTCCTTCCTTCCTTCCTTCCTTCCTTCCTTCCTTCCTTCCTTC